AGAGTTTTAAACCATGTAGGAATTTTTCCTTTAGGAATTTTATTAAGTCTAGGTGAAATGTGTTTCCAATCAAGCAGATGAGAGTTGTCTGTTGTAGTAAGTTGATCGAGAAATAGTATATGGTGGTGACATAGTTGTTTTTTGAAAGTGGGATAGCTGGAATGTTGAGACAAGATGGATTCAAGTAAGACAGAGCCTTCTTGAATTGTGAAAGATATCGAGATATTTGGATTAGTACAAAACAACAATTTGTTTATTACAAAATGTATACTTTATTAAATCTAGTTTTTACTTTTTTTATTATTATTAGTTTAATTATTGTTGACTTTATAACTGAAGATTATACAATTAATATTTATTTTAATATTAATTTAATTAAAAACACAATTAAAAATATATTTTTTAATTGATATATTTTAATATTTACTAGTTTAATTTTAATTACTTATTATTATTTATTGCTTAAAAGATATTTAATTCAATTAGAAATAAATACTTTAATATCATGAAGAAATGAAGTTACTTCGAAAATTCTTTATTTTTACTAGGGATGTTAATCGGTCCTGCAGTAATTGTTAGCCGACTTTGAGCAAGATTTATAAAAAATTGACATTTTTAACCGGTATTTGTCTAATAAATAAAGTCATAGAAAAATAATTTTTCTATTACATTTTCTAATAGAGGTTTATCGGTTTATGTATTGGTTTTTGAGTAGTTTTGATAGGACCGATTAGGGACCGAACAGTGTAGAGAAATTTTAGCTAATCGGTCCCTAATCAGTCCCATTTAAATTATACAAAAACTAATGCAAAAATCGATAAACTTTTATTAGAAATGTAACAGAAAAATTATTTTTCTATGACTTTATTTACTAGACGAATACCAGTTAAAAATGCCAATTTTTTATAAATATTGCTCAAAGTCAGCTGACAATTACTGCAGGACCGATTAACATCCCTAATTTTTACCAATCAAAATTCAAGGTAAATTTAATTTAAACATAAACAAATATTTAAAGATATATAAAATATTTAATTTAATTTATTATAATTTTAATTTTAAAAATGAATTTTATCAAGAAACTTTTAAAAAAATTCTTCAAAAAACAACAAAAAGAAGATGAAAACACTTGGGATTATGGTGATGAAAAACCATTTCAAGAAAATTAGTTGTCGTTGTCAATTAACAAAGAAGAAGAAATTTTTTTTCTTGCTACTTTATCAATTGATAACAAAAAACAATTTGAAGTTGAAGTATTTGAAGCAATATACAAAATAGAGTATATTGTTTTTACAAAATATGAAGACTTTAAAGATTATTTAATTAGAAATAATATAGTTTTAAGCTTTTTACGAAACTATGATTATATTAAAAATAGAAGAATACAAAATCTTTTGAGCTTTCTCAAAGCCCATATTAGAAGCTATTTCTATATTTATAATAAAGAATTAAAGTATGGAATTTTAAACAATATATTGGATTTGTTAGAATGAAGAAGAACAAGCTATGAAAATAATTGTAAAAAATAGTTTAAAGAAATAAACTATGACTGTGAAAAATACAGTATTAAATATCTTTTTTCATATAGTGATATTGAACAATACTGCAAAGAATATTTAGCATATTAGTAAAATTGTATAATAGTTTTTATTTTATATTGTTTTATTTTTGTATATTCTATTTTTAGTTGTATATATTTATTTTTATATTATTATTTTTAGTAATAAAAACCTATTTTTAATAAAATTTGGCCAATTAGATATATAAAATTCTAAGTATTTTTTGCAAAAAACTGAGTACTTTGAAAAAACTCTGTCACATAAAAATTTGAATACTTTGAAATTTGGCCAATAAAATTTGAAGGAATTAATTCCAAAAAGTATTACATACCGTTCTTTTCTTGAATAAAAATATTTTAATTAAAAATAGTAAGTAGAATATCAATCATTGGCTAGTAGCTGCTGCTATGCTCGATATCAATTATTTTTCTTCTAGTGACTGCTAAAGAAAAATATTGCTCGCTTACTCAAACAATCCTCACCTTTCAAAAATTTTTACATATGTTTAATTAGTAATTTCTTATGATAAAACGAACATCTATTGTGTTAAAAACACATGATTCTACAAATCATGTGTTTTGAGCACTAATAGATTTCATTTCATCTCAGAAATTAAAAAACTTAAATTAAAACTATTATGTAATTAAACTTTCCACCCTAAAGCTCTCAAGGACAAATACTAACATTGTTAGTATAATGCATTCTTTGATAGAACCTATCAAATATTGTTTGATCCTCCCACATAAAAATGCTATCCTCTCATCCTTGGCCTGTGATAAATGTAGTATGTTGTTGTTTATGACATGACAAATGCCTTATGCTTATGAATTGATATGTGACAAGTCACATGCTAATTAAATACTACATATTTTTGTCATATTATAAAAAAATAAAAACCAAAAAAAATATATAATTTTTAGTTAATAAAATTTATTTATTTTTTTAAGCTGTGATTTTATTTTAAACTTCTAAAAAAATATAGTTGTTCGAATAATTTTGCATACAATAAATATACATAACATGAAGCCATCCAAAAATAAACATATTAGCTAGAATGTATTTAATGACATATAGACGATCATAACTTGTTATGAATTTAAAAATAATTGATGACAAAAAGATAACCAAAGTATAAATTTTCTTGAAAAAACAGTTCTTTTTGATTATGTTGTGATACATTTTAATGAAATTAATTAAATTCTAAAAAAAAATATTATTGATTTTTAAATTATTTAGAAAACTAAAAAAAATGATGTCATCAACTTTCTTTTCAAATGCTACTAAATTTTTTGCTTGGTATAACGCAGCTTTATCAAGTGATTCTGCTGTAATGAGTTTTAATGTATTATTTAATCGTGTTAACTCTTAGTTTTGATTGGTTAATTAATCAATATTGTTTTGCAGATCATTTACTTGATTTAACGATAAATTGTTGCGTTTAATCAATTCATTATGATCTAAATGTAAAGCTATAATTTCCTGAAGATGTTCAGTATTTTCATGTAATAAATTAATATTTTTTTGTTATATTCTATTAGAATCAGATGCCATTTATAAAAGATAAAAATATATATGTTTATTTTATATAAAAAAATAAATACAATTTAAAATAAAATACAATTTAAATAATAATAATAAAAAATAAAATATAATATATGAAAGCTAAAATTTTAATGCATATTTTAAACCAGGATATAGTGGATATGATTTGTCTAATTTGTTTGTTGTATCAAAACCACTATTAATTTTTTGTTTTTTATTTTTAAATGTATTAACTTTTAATTCTTGATATTCTTGAATTGTGCTTACAAACTTTCTCTTTTTTTGTTGAGAAGTATATTCACTATCATCAGAATCAGGTTCAGATACTTTCTTTTCTATATTATTGTCAATTTCAGAATATTAATCTTTTAATTGTAATAAATCTGAATCTGAAGCATGTATCTGTTGCTTATAATCAGATAATTCTTTACAATATAGATAATCTTGTAAATAATGTTTTTTAAATTCAGGAAAAAATCTATGGCAATAAACTTGATTATTTTTGATTATAACTTCTCCTGGTTCATCTTTATTAAGCTCTTGAACAATTTTTTTAAGTTTTTTAGTAGTATATTTGCATTTATCATATTTGAGATCCCAAATTATTTCATGAAAATCAGATTCTGAACCTTTATGAAAGATGAGTTGTGTTGTATATTTTTCAATATCATTATTCTATTCACCCTGAAATTTAATTATAAAATCAAGTTATCATTTAAATTGTTTCCAATCTCATTATGTTGATGTTTCATTATCAATATTTCTCTGGCCAAAATTAAATACTTCTTCAGATGGTTTTCGTGATGTTATAAAAATATATTTGGCTAAAAATAAAACAAACCTGGGTGTGGCAACCTAGTGAAGTGGTGGAGTTGCTGCACCCCCAAACGGCAGGTCTAGAGTTCAAATCCCATGGACGACGATTTTGAAAAAACTAGATCTGTATCGGTTAACGTTAAGATTATCAGTTGGATCCAGATATCTGTAATCT